CCGTGAGGTAAGGCCGTCGCCGGCAGGTACTCACGTAAATCAACAACCAAAGTTGTCTGTTCGACCGTCTGTTTGTATATACGCAAACTAGTCTCTCAGTTTGGAGATATCGATCTGAAATTTTGCACACAGAAATGTTCTCCTCTGGAAGCTGAAATTTAGTATAAATTATTATCTAAAGCTACAATATCCGAATAATCTGTTCAAACGGACAAATACAGCATATAGCTGCCATAAAAAATGACCGATCAAACGCAAGTCCTTGTCCTGTCTGAAAAAATTGTTCAGATCGGATCTTTATAGCTTACAGCTGCTATGCAAATGGACCGATCAAAACTAAGTTAAAGATATCTATTTCGTTTTACGCTATAATAACTGTTCTATATAATATAGGTTCACGCTGTAAGTGATCCACTCTTTTATGACCCAAAAACAATTTTTTGGAACCATTTTTTTGTGTACTATCAAAATAAATATGAAATAGTAGTGAAGTTATCAATTTAACTGAAAGAGAAAAAATATCAATAAATAATACAATATAAATTTTAAATTTCTTTTATATTTGGTTTTAATAAGTGATTTCAATTGCATTTTTTTAGCTCAAGGTCTATACAATTGTTTCTCCCCGAAAAACCTTAAAAGTTTAAAAATAAATCTCATAGCCTTCGAATTACTTGCATTTCTTTAGCAGAAAAAAAATTCAAATCAAATAAAATGGAAATCAGTTTCGGTTAAACTAACAAACATACATGAATCAGAGCGCTGTTTACAGCAGAAATCATCAATAGCAATAACATCAGTCGCAGCCATGGCAGCCAGCGAGCTATAATAACATTTGGCGTTGAGCTATAAATCTATTTGTTTGATTCACGCCAGCGATTCATCAGCAAAATACAGTTTGCAACAAACACCCACACACATACGCACACACAGTCATATAAATGTTCGAACATAAATTTATGTGCACACGTGCACACCTACAGACACACACATGCATGAATATTAGTTTACTAAGTCTTCAACCTTCAGCATGACCATGACAATGGTAATCCCTGCGTTGCTAACTGTATACTTTTTCTTCCCCCTTTGCACCCCCAACACACCCATTGCTAATGTCTTCATACGTAGCCCCTTTCCCCGCCACCACAACAACCACCATCAGTGGTTGACGTTGCATTTGCAGCACCTTGTGGCACATTGCAGTGAATTTATGGCGCATTGAGGCAATAAACGTCTGCTGCGATTACTTGCAATGGGCCCGCTAGGCTTCTCAGCCCCCTATGTGTTGCTAACTTTATACGCAGGTGATTTGTTTGTATCAACAGCATGTTTCAAGTGAATTATTGCATATGAAAACGCCTATTTGCATGTTTGTGAGTAAGTAAGTATGTATATAGTTGAGCGAAAATTGTGGGTTTCATTGTAAAGTAAGCGGTGTGATTTAGAGACCCTTATCGATTAACATGACATTGAAGTTGTCCGACTTCATTTCCACGCAGTTTGCAGTTCATATGTACAGCTGATGACTCAAGGTCGTTGGTGTTTTTGGAGTTTGCAACTCTAATTACGATGACCATAATGATATAAGAACAAGAAAAAAACGTTAACTTCGGTTACACCGAAGCTACAACACCCTTCACAAATACAAAATATTCTTTAAAACCACTTGATTTTGATCGGTTTGTATGGTAAGTATATGCTACAGTGACTCGATCTAAATAATTCTTTCGGAGATTGGTTGTCTTGGAAAATAACTCACGCTAAATTTGGTGAAGATATATCGTCATATGAAAAAGCTTTCCATACAAGACTTTATTCCGATCGTTAAGTTCGTTTAGCAGTTATATGCTATAGTAGTCCGATATCGGCGTTTCTGACAAATTGTCGGCCTCTTGGAGAGAAAAGAACGTGCTCAAAATTTCAGATCCATATCTCAAAAACTATCTCCGCAGTTGCCTTCTAAGTGCTACAAACTTCGTGGCGAATTTTATATACCCAGTTCAGGGTATAAAAATCGCTTTGCTTTGAAAAGCTAATTTAATTTCATAATGTGTTTATTTCTCTGACTCTTTCAAAAGTTAAGTTGAGGAAATTTATTATATATTATACATATATCAAAATAGTTACAACCAAGGCAGAAAAAAACTTATTTTATGTAATTTTTTTTTCTGAGGTCCTTTTTTTAATAAGTAAGTAAAAAAGATATACATTAACAAGATTTAATATATTTGGGTAATCGGTGATTAATTTTGAAAAATTTTGAATTCTCTTGATCCCGTAATCGTTCTCCGGGAGGATCTCCGAAAAAAGGTGTCTGGCGGTGAGGTAAACTTTTCTGTTCGACTAGAGGCTTATAAATATGATTTATATTCAAAAATAAATTGTATATATATTGTTGCTTAATATAATGTTCTACAGAGTAAATTATTTTTTGGGTCACATACAGCTGTACCATTTGATCAAATTTGACCCGGACTGAGCCAACGCAAATATGTCAACGCTTATTCCAATTTTCCATATACTTGTTATAAGCCTAGGCTGGTATGTCCTTTTTACAAATTTTGGTTTTTACGGTTTCGATTAATTTTTGGTACGTTATTCGGTAGTTTGTTGGATAGTTTCAACGTCATATTTTTAAACCCACGTCTCGTTCTCAGCGACATTGGTAAGCATTTTTTTATGACCTCTCCACGACGTCGTTTTTATAAAAGATTCGAGTATTTTGATACGAGTCTAGCACTGACACGCTTCATACCCGAAACATTATCCAAAATGTGTTGAGTCGATCTATAAGAGATGTTGAGATCCTCTGCTATCTCGCTGACTACAACACGATGATAGTCAAGCACTGTTTCTTTACCTTTTTTAATGCTAGCGTCATTTAAAGAGTTGACTTCACGAATCTTAGCATATGAAGCCAGTTATCGATGACTTCACGACCTTCACTGAATCAAACTTGATCAGATGGTATTACCAGTGATAAAATTATCTAAGTAGTTAGTTTTTTTCGAGTTAATTTTTTTTCAGTTGACTACTGAATCCAAAAATTGGATCAATTAGCGATATATTTTCAATGCAAAAGATGTGTCAGTCGTGTTTCGATGTTCTTTAGAAGACTTCAATAAATGAGAATACTTCAGCCATTAATGTTTAATTATAAGAATCTTCGCAGAATCTTTTACTCGAACACCTATTGTACTATTGTTACTATTTGAATTTCGCGTGCTTGTAGAAATTTTAGCAAGAAAATTTGAACAACTGAAAAGCGTTCGGATTTAATTAGTATTACCGCCTTATTGAGAAGCACTGCACATAAAAAGACATTTTAAAAAATGTTTAAAAATCAGAAAACTGTCATAAAATACATATGTTTTACTTCTGAAGTTACGAAATCTTCTAAATATCATAACTTTGAGTTAAAGACTTTGCTAAAAACTTATCTTGAACTTAAACCTTCAGCGAGATAATATAGTTACCCGAATATTTTCTTCTACCACGAGACCTGTTCGGCAATCTTGATTTTATATAAATGACGTAAATAAATGGTAAAAGAGAGCATGATATCAGCGGCTCTAAAAATTTCACTAGGGTGGTGCATGCAGATCTACTGCTCTATAAAAGAAAGTGTGTGAAGAACTGGCGAATTGTTTGAAAGCTCGGAGAGGTACCTATTATTGGTTTCTCGCTATAAATCTTAATGTGTTCGAGATTAGTTATCTTTTGGTGTTTATACAGTATATAGTTTGGTTTTAGAAGATTGTTTCAGAGCTCTCTGAAATCGAAGCCAATTATAAATCTGAAATAATATATAATATAACACTAATGAGTTAATCTTTCAGCTTTAGTCGGTTTGTGAATTTTCTATAGGGAGATTAAAATTATATAACACTCAAGGTGTTAAAAAAATAATCGTGTGGGAATTCCAACCAGGACATATTGTTCCCAAACAAAAGTGGCAATCAAACTGGCACGTGAGAATTTGTATACAAAATAAAGGTACTGTCTGGAAGCACGTGCTCTTCGATTAGCGTAATGCTCGTATTTATGCAGCTTCTTTAGCTACTTTTTGCCGTTTAGATTTTTATTTGTCTTCGTTGTTGACTGACAGTTGGCCTCGTGCACTTGAGAAGAAACCAACAACAACAAAAGAAAGTAGCACGTTTTGAATATGATATACCCCACAGTTGAGCTTACTGACTCAACCAATAGCTCAAAGATGCCTACGCTAAGAACCTACACACAATGGCTGTACGCCTGGACGCTTACGCTTCGCCATGGATTGCTCTTTCGCATAAAAGGTTTACCGTGGGAGCGTTTTAGTTGCCGAATGGTAGACAAAACATGTAGAGAAGTGACAAGGAGGAAGAGCAGCGATGTAGCATAGAGAGAGCAGATATGTTAACTGAGAGCCGACAGCATGGCATTACCACAAGTGAGCGCATTGGAATGCATGGTAAGAAGGAAAATAAATAACAAAGCGCGGAAGCGAGTAAATAAAAGGCAGCAAAACTTAAAAAAAAGGAGGTCGAAGTAAAAATTATTAACTGGCGCGCAGTGTTGGCTGTCACTTTGACAGTTCACAGGATGCAAAGAGCGTATAACGGAGAGAGAGTTACGCAGTTGCTCTCACAGTTCTCACGTATTAGTAAGCAGGTGGCACGACTAACAATCGTCTGTGTTTCCTTAAACTACTTTCACGAACACTGCCAGCACTGTTGCGACGTCGCCTTTGCACGAGTTAGCAACAAAATAACAGCGACCGCCGCAGCAGCGGAAACGCCACAAGCCACGGTCTGGCCGCCGTGTGGAGTACAATGGCGAATAAAGGAAGTAAAATAGTTGAAGTTGAATTGTTGCAAAGCAGCAAACGGCAATATGAGAAACGCTTTGCGCTCTTCGTCTTTCGTGTAGTTGTTGTGCTGGTCGTCGACATTTTTGTTGTTTGAACGGCCTAACTAGCCGTATGCATGCTCGTGCGCTCACACAGCTCTTCAGTTAGTTTGGTTTGACGGTTCGCTGGCTGGCTGGTTGGTCGCTTGGCTTATTGGCTCACAGACTGGTTACGCGAAGCTAAGTGAAGTTGATGCGATTTATTTGTTGTTTGTTGCCAAACGAATGCGGTGAACAACTAACGTTGAGTGCTGTGCTGTGTTAAGCGCTGTGCCGAGCTGAGTTGAACTCTGTGAGCCGTAAATGTAGCAATGAAAACTGGTGAATGTCGTGTGTCTTCAACAGCCACTGATGGCACTACTAACCGATTTAAAAGTTCACCGCTCAAGTGTCTGTGCGTTTGTGTGTATGCGTGCTGGTCGCTGCTGGCGCCGCCGAGATTTGAAATTCTATGACCGATTGTGGATGCAAAGCATTTTGTGAAAAGTGGAGATATTTGGAAAAAAAATAAGCAAACTTCAGTGAGATGAAAATAATTTGAGATTTTAAATATATAATATTAAATAAATAATATCACCAAATGGTAAAGAAAATTAAAAATATTTTTTAAACCTAAATCACAAAATAATACTAAAGGCACGAATGGCTTCAAATCACTTGTGCGCCCAAAAGTATGCAAATCTGCATATCGTGATGCAACATACAAAGTGAAAATTGTGCGGTGCAGCAAAAAAATTATATATAATATATATTTATATGATAAATGCAGCAATTTAGTAAATGACAAAAAAAATCCAATAAAATGGCTCGAATGCTACAACATGTGACAACGCCTAAAAACATGCAACGAAAAAGAGAATTTAAAAAATCTGACCTTGCGTCAGTTGCTATGCAATCCATCTAATAAAAATGCATGTGTGTGTGTGAAAAAGTAAGTTTTCAAAAAGGTAACCAATTATGATAAATAAAAATAAAATAAAAAAATAAAAAATATCTTTTAAACAAACAATAATGCTAAATGACAGTAATTTTTTTCAAATGCTTAGTGCTTAGTATTAGCTTAGTTCATTGCGTGTTGGCGCGACACCTAGACATTTTCGATATTCTGACACTGTTGCTTGATTGCTAAAGAAAATAAAACAGAGTAAAATATATACCGTTAAAAAATCTGTATAAAAAAAAATATTCGCAAATAATAGTGCGCACTTAACTCATTTAATAAATTGCGCAACTGCTGTGATAACAAGTGGCTTATTGAATACAAATATTTACTTACATTTATAATCGTCAAAGCAATTTTGTTTAAGTACATCGGAAGAAATATTTTCGGAAAGCAAAACAAGCTTTATAATAAAATTGAAATGTGCACAATTGATACAGAAATTTTATTGACTTCAACAACAAAATAAGCTTACATTAATACGCCTATTAATATGATAGAAAGAATAATAAAAATTTATGTAACAGTTATCATGTGTTGAAAAAAAATAATAGCACCAAGAAAAAATATCAGTGAAATAAGCACGCTGAACGTTAACTGCCAGTAAACATTCCATTATACCCAAAAATTAATGTTTAAAATAAGAAAGCTTCATAACTATAAAAAAGCAAAGTTTTTACAAGGAAACTAAACTCTAAGTGATGCTAGTGTTTGTTAAATTGACAAAAACGCATTTTTTGAAACTCACCACACCGTGGTGAAAAAGATTTTTTTGCACGCAAAACCAAGAAATGAACTTGTGTTGTATTTTCAACATAACGTTTAATTTTTAGACATCGCTCATAAGTAAAACGCTCATTAAAATATGCCGAACTATTTTTGTTGTACTTTAAATAGTGAATATAGAATAACAATAAGCAAATCTAAGACGTGTGAAATAAGCTATGACAAATTTTTAGAATGGTAAAATCATAGTAGATATCAATGCAGATGTGGTTGCTAATTAGAAACTCCGGCTACATTATCTATCACTATGTGTAAGTGCACAAATTAAAATAAATTATTCTCGAGGGAAATGGATAGTTTCGACCAAAGTACAGCACCTGTAGCATTTTAAAACTTCGCCTCAAGCGTGAAAAAAAAGTTTACCTAACAAGTTTGCAAACACCGGTACTGCTATAAGAAATACGCATAAAGTAAATTATAACGCTTGAAATTTTTTAAAACTCACCACGATGCTTTGAGATATACATATATTTATATACAAATTTAACAAAAATTAGACAGCAAATAACGAAAGTCTACTTAATTTTCCCGAAAATTATGTATCAGAAATAAAAAAAAAGAACTCAAGTGTACTAACCACCACTCTATGGTGAATTTAAAATGAATTTGTGAATTCCGATATCAAACTTGAATAAACGACATATAAACACATTTTAAATTAATATCTTATATAATAAATTTGAAACGGTTTCAAAGCCACTTTTGAAAGCAATCAGAAACAAGACATTACTCAAAAAGATAAACCACTTATACTAACCGAAACCCAATACTGAAAAATTGTTTATAAATCTGCACAATTGCTAAAAAACACTTATCAACAACTATTAATAAGCAAAAATATCAAAGCGCAACTTCTAACGCACAGCACTGCAGGAAGCAACAAACAATTCACAACTCACCACACCTGTATTCTAAGCTAAACTTTAAGGCAATACCATGGGATCACATGGTGCGGGCGCATGCGACTGCTGTGGCGGAGGTGGCGGTGGCAGCTCATCTACCGCTAGCAACAATGGCAACAGCGATGCACCGCAGCGACAACAACAACAAGCAGAGCATAGCAACAACAACAGTCCACAGCGACAACGGCCTCACGGCCAACAACAACAACATGAACATCCACAATTTCCGCCGCATATGTTCGGCGCGGCTGCCGCGCTACACTTGCGACGAGAGCGCGAGCCGCCACAATTGCCGCCATTGCCCATTGTGCCGATCATGCCGCCGCGCCCACCATTAGCCCAGCAGCAATCGCAACATCACTTGGGAGTGCCAGCTGTGGCGATAATTGCAGCGCGCGGCAGTCGACACCAGCAGACGCAAGATGCGCAGAACAACAATAACATGGTACCTAGCGGCGGAGGCGGTGGCGCAGCGCAAACGCAACACGCCAGCATCGCGCACTACATCAATCAGGTGAATATGCACATGAATCTCAGCAACAATAACAACACCAATACGGGTGGCACTGGCGTTGTTGTTGTTGGCGCCACCGGTGGTACTACGACTAATACGCTGAGTGTGAGCGCCACCACCGCCAGCGGACAACCTAACTATAATAACAACAATCATATTTATGTGAATCCACACTCGTACGATATGCAAGCGGCAAGCGGCGCGGCACCGCGCATGCAACCGAACAATAACAACGCCGCGAACGCAACCACCACTAGCACTAACAATAATAATATGAATAGGAGCAGCAGCAACAATAACACGCACTCGAATACGAATACCAGCAACACAAGCATCTCGCAACACACCACCGCCACCGGTTCGACCGCAGTCGCCTTGCCACCGCAACCACCCACAGCGAACGCGCACACGAATCACACCCAACCACCGCCGCCGCAGATCACCACCACCGGCGTCGGACCGCCGGGTTTTGATTGGCACTTCACGAACGGGAGCAGCAACGCCGGCGCCTTGGGCGGTTTCGAGCTGACGCGCCAATTTACCTCCTCCACACTGAGCACACTCAATACATATCTATTTCCGTGCGGCGCCGACTCCGCCGGCACCATTGGCGCTGTAACGCTCAACAGTGGCAGTGGCTCGTGCGATTTAGACAGCAATTTCAGTCAAATGGTCGCCGGCAGCGAAGGCGGCGCCAGCTCTACATTTAGTTCGGGTCTCGGCTTCATCAACAAGCGGCGCATACGTCGTCTTTTCGGTGTTGGCACACCGGATCATCGTTGTACTGGCGCGCATGCCGCGGCTGTCCGGCGACGCAGCTCGCCGTTGGTGCATTTTCAAACTGCCGCTTTGGCCAAGAAGAAACAACAACAAATGGAACGCGAAGCAACTGTTGCCTCGGCAAATGCAGCGCTATTCGAGCAGAAGAAGAAGAAAAAGAAGGAGAAGAAGAAACCGCCAGGTCCACCGCCACAGGTGCGCGCGCAGGCCTCGCGTCAAATGGAGGATCCGATGATGAATCGTCCGCGCCGTCAAAACACGCCGAGCAGCAAAAAGGACAGAGAGAAGGAACAGCTGGAATTTCAATTGAAAATATTGCAACAGCTGCAGCAACAACAATTACAAAAACAACAGCAACAAGATGACGAACTGGACATGGAGTATATCTATGAGAAGTACCCACACAAAATAAAATTTTTGAATAAATTTAGATAACAAAAAAATTGCGTTAATTTTTCCAAAGCACTTTTAGCAAAGCGCTTACACCTTTTGAAAGCAAGCATTTGCGCTGCAGCAAAAAATACATACTTATTTTAAATAAAAGTAAATTTATATCCAGCAGCTTTGTTTTATTTGATTCATATGGTTTTCTTCATTTCAGTGCAACGCCGATTTACAGTACGCTTCAACGCTTTTCTATAGCGCTTGTGTTATTTGTTTACTACACACACACACGCACACACATGCATAGTATAATGTTGTTGTTGGTTCTGTTTAACTTATATGACTCTTTCTTTTATTGGCATTTCTTTTGATTTTTATGCAGCTCTGACTTTTGTTTTTGTACCGCAACAATTTGTTTGTATGTCAAAACTACAGTATTCTCTGCTTAACTAAATCAGCTTGTCAATCAAAAATCATTTTCAGTGATTATATAATGTGATTAAGCAAAATTTTGTTATTCAGTGCACAATTTATATAAAAAATATTGGTTAATGGCTTCAAAGAAGAATTCAAACGAAATATTGGCCATTTTTTATTTGTAGTTTAAGCTCCGATTTTACTGTATATATCAGCTAAATGCTTAATGTCGAAAAACTTTGCAGTTTTCGTTCGTAAATTATTAATTTTATAGGAACTTTAATGTGCAGCTTTTTTAAGTCCTAATTATATAAAAAAAAAACTATGTATATAACTCTTAGATATATATGAAAGAATTGGGTTTCAAGTAATCATCCAACGACTTGATATACACATACGTTTTCTTATACGTATTATATTTTACTACACAAATATATATTATATGAAGGAAAACTACTGAACAGCCTTTCCGGATTATACCTTTCCTATCTTATAATTTCCTAAACTTATAACTTATTTGTAATATAAAATAAACTGATAACTAAATTATATAATATAAAATGAAATATTCAAAGTCAAAATGGAGAAAAAATATATCCGATAGGTGGCGCTACGAGCGAACTTAATCGATCGGTCGTTTCAAAGTTCGATTCACATTATGCAAAATACTTTGACCAAAACTCTACCCAATAATCGACGCATTTCTAAAACCCGTTTTTACTTTCTGATTTAGCATATATTGTAATAAAATATAATATATAATATTTATCATGAAATATTTAAATATTCGAAGCGGAGTTGACATATGAAAATAAGAATAATGGGAACTTTCCTATTTCGAAAAAAAAAAATAGATTTATTCTTTCGTCTACATTACAGTTGTCGCCTTCAAAACAGTAATTGTAAATTGTTTTAAAAAGGAACCGACAATCCTGACAATCGAAAAAGACTGTTTGACTGTGACGAAAAATGTTAAGTGTATATAAAAGTGAAAGTTGTTATGACTTGGAAACACATTATGATAATATTTTAGAATATTGCAAAGTGACTCCTTAGCTTATATTATTGTTACCACTACGATATAAATATGTTTTAATAATCGGTGGGTACTTCTATATTGTCAGTATTATGACACGACTGCGACAAATCATACATAATTTTGACAAATATTCATCAGTACACTAAATATTGTAGTATTATTTTTAAACTCTTTAACGAATTGCTTCGTGGAGGGAGTAACTAAAACATTTGAAAATTCTATATTTCTCTCTCCCATATCTAATCAAAATTATACAATTACAATACAATATTTAAATTATACAATATTATCATTTTAAAAATATGGTACTGAGCCAATACAAATATGCCAACACTTAATTCAATTTTTGATACACTTGTTGTAGGCCTCGGGATGACCTTCAGTGCGTTTAGCGAATTTTAGGTTTTACGGTTTCAGCTTTTTAATTTGATTGATTGTCATTAACAGAGGCGGATGGACGATTTGTATAAAGCAAGTTTTTGATGACTTCATGACCTTCACCATATGCTTTGTGCCACTCAAAAACTTCAAAAGACTTCTGCAATATTTTCAATGATTCCAAAACCCTGATCGTTCCAACATAAAAAAAGTGTATTGTTTTGGTTTGCACGCTCTGTGGGACCAGATCGAATTATATTCTATCTTGCTTTCAGAAAATGCACTTGTGAAGAATTTTTCTGGATTTTTATTCGATTTCTTTGATGAATTTTTTCGTAAAGTAGATAACTAAAGTATTTGAGGATTCTATATTTTCTCTCTTCTGTAATAAAAAAAACAATTGCTAATACAATAAATCGTTTACAAATAATGTTATATGTTAGCTGTAAATTTCGTGATATGTTGAATCCAAGAATTTGGCGAGCTCCCTCTTCCCTTGTTTTCAGATATTTGTCCGGAGGTCGATACTTTCTTCAAATTTTCAAGATACATAAGGAATTGAATAATATCAGTAAAATTTTTAGACGAACACTTTTCCAATCTAGAAACAATGAAGGTGTTCAACGGTTTAGTATTTACTTAAATTTTCATCAGAAGTTATGTCGTTATCTTATTTTATATTCGAGGTTCTTATAAAAATTTTAGTGGACACAATTTGCCATATAAAATTGTCAGGAATTACTTCTCAATAACACTTCTACCCTGACAAAATTCAAATTTTTGATTATTTATTTTCTGCTTTTAAATTTTTTTTTTTTTGTAAATATTGACACATCTCTTTAGTATATACTTGAATATATTTACCATTACATACCAACTTCTGCTATGGAATGATTCTGCAAGTATTTGCAACACCAAGCAAAAACGATTCATTGCATAAGCTGCACTCGATAATAAATTATGGAAATCAAATTGACACAACCGCAGTGAGATTCACTTCCGCACTTGCATCCCTAAAATACATAAAATCGAACCGCCCAACACATTTTGCAATTACAACAAACACCAGCAAAGCGCATAAAAACCAAACGGCAGTTGTACAAATAGACAATAAAAGGTAGTAAAACCAATAAATAACGAGGTGAAACAAAAGCAAATGCTGAAATCAGAAACACGTTTGCATGTGTCAGTGTAGGTTTGTGCAAATAGAAATTATATATGCGATTGCTAAGCAAAGCTCAGTCGCAGTGGCAATGGCAAATGATTGCTGAAGGTTTTTACTAATCAATTATCGACGTGCAATAGCAGCAACAGCGGCTGTGAGCGGTGCAGCAGTGTGTCGCTGTGGGAAAGATGTGTGCAAAATTTAGCAGATGGTGTTAAGCACTACAATAGTGGGGGGGCACATATTAGTTGTAAATGGATCATGAAGTAAAAATAAAAAATAAAAATATTTTTAATTTCGTTTTTCATAATTCATCATTTCCAGTGCTAAGAGATATATTAGTATAAACTACCAGCATATATATCTGCGTAAGTCTATAGACCTGGGAGGTGTGTTAAAAGTACAGTCAAACCATATCAACAACAAAATATTAATGGTATATTCATTTGTGGTATAATTGCTCCAAAATTTCAGTGTCCAGTTTACGAAATGTTTGCACTGAAAAATTAATAAATATTGAATCGATATTTTGCTATAAAAACCAAATATCGATTGATATTGTAAGGTATTTTTAATACCAAGAATATGTTGTTCCTAGAAAACAAACAAAAAAAAAACAAGCAAATAAAAAAAATATCTCTACAAGAACTTGATTTTGATCGGCCAGTTTGTGAGGCAGCTATATGCTTTAGCGGTCTGATCTGAACAATATATTCGAAGATTTCAGCGATGCCTTAGACAATAATCTATGCCAAATTTTGTGAATATATCTTGACAAATAAAAAAGTTTCCCATACAAGAACTTGATTTTGATTTCTCAGTTTGTAAGACAGCTATATTCTATAATGGTCCGATATCGACGTTTTCGACAAATAAGCAGCTTCTTGGTGAACAAAGGACGTGTGCAAAATTTCAGATCCATGTCTGTAAAACTGTTGGACTTGTTGGTGGTTTATTTCGCTGTAGTTTGTTGAATGCCATGGCGTATACGTAATTTAAGTATGCATGGGGAGTTCCGGTAGAGGCGCATAAGTAAATTTTTGTGTTGCTCTACTCACTGTTAAGCGAGTACATATTCTTCGTTATAGTATTCAAAAATCTAAAAATACGAAGTAACATGAGAATATTTAATTGACTTCCATTCATTATAATACGTTAGCTATTCTTTCGGTTGCACCATTGCGTATAAGTAATATCAAATAATTTTAAAATTGTTTATATCAGTATTATTTCTCAAAAAATTATTTAATTATTCATAAACCTATAACGTTATTATTTTTTCAACAATTCTGATAAAAAGATTACTTCTAAGAGTTTTACAAATAATTAAAATGAACTAAATAAATAAAAATAAATGACAAAATATTTTAAGTATGAGGAATTTTAGAATTATATGTAAGCTAAACGAATGTATCAATGAGAGATATTTTTTAAAACGGGTTGCCAAAATCATGTTAGAAAGGGGCTGCAAAAACAAGTTCAATATTTCTTTTCTGCTGAACTGCTATATGGCTTGAGTAACTTTAAGAAATAAATTATAAAGCCACATGTGAACAAAAAATTTGACCAAAACCATTTTGTGAAGCTTTATTTCTATATTAATTTTATTGTTGTTTTCTATATTTAATGCTTTCTGACACTTCTGGCATTGATTAACGCTTAAAACATCTGTAATTGGACTACCTGCCGTATTCATTACTCCAAGCACTATACTAAAAAAAATAAAAAAATATTAAAAGAACTCAAAAGTCACAAAATAGTATTCCCAATAATACAATAAATTTCTATAAACATTTTGCATTCTAAACATTATCTTATAACAGCAATTAAATATTAATTTAACCGACGTAAGCAGCAAATCCATTTTGCAATAAGAACAAACTTAAATTATATAAAACAAATTTTCGCACGCATTAAATTATAATGTACAATGGTTGAAGGTAAAACTGCGCGCACACAAACATATAAAGCATGCTAAATATTTATATAAATATCTAATTGCTTGACACACTGCAAGGCTGGCAGCTAAGTGCTTTCCTTTGCCTCATGTACCACAACAAACAGAGCCATCACTTAGGCCGTCGTCTGCTGGCTATCGATTTAATAAACGTTTGGGCATTGAAACATTGAGGGAT